CAGTGTGTCTTTCTGTGTCTGTATTTCTGCTTGGCAATGGACTGGCATGTATCCCACCTACACCCGTTATTTACCGGGACGAACTCCAGCTCTCCCACAGCCCTGAGTACGAACAAGTGGTTAGAAAATGGATGGATAATAACCAAAGTGAATGCTCACCAAGAATACTATTTGGAATGACAAACATTAGTGGGAAAAACAGTCAATTTTAAGGTCAAACCAGTTTTGCTTATTATCTAATGTTATAAAGGTGCTGTAGCAGAAAGTGGGGTTAACATTAAGAACAGAGAGGTTGGAGGTTTAAAACACACAGAAAACAAACATGTACAGTAGGCACTGACAGAAGTCTGAACAGATTTTAAGTGCTTCTTTTCATTTCAATAGTGAAGGCTACAGAGACCTGAACATGTTGTCTGGTCAATAACTTTACCTCATGTTTTTGATCCCTATACATACAGTACACTACTGTATGATTTCAGTTTCATTGCTGTTCTTTTTATACTGATGAACAGGCCATTGGTTCTTCTGATGTCCTAACATATAGTGGATGTGCTTGTATACCAATTTGAATCTCACCACATTTCTTTACAGTAAATAACAGCTAGACAACATAGAAAATGAAAACTCCAGCCCATATTCTGTCTGTCCATTGATCTTCAGCATGTACTATTGTCCTGCTTTATTATGTTCGTTGTGTAAAATCCTAATATGCAGCTAAACCTACAGTATACAGTAAGTCATGCATCAGGAATACTAGATAGTGATGCAAAAAGAATATAATGGTTTGTTTTTCTTATGAAATGATGTACTGTAGGTTTGTTGTACAGTAGTGTAACAAGCTTTATTGCCTAATTAAACCTTTATGTATACACACATTGTATGTAACACTTTATGTAATCAGGACTTTATATAAAGCGAATAAACATTTACACTACTATAGTGAAGTTAATGTCTCTGATCTACTTGCAGTGTTATATGCTGAGAGGCATTAGACTTAACAAATGAGTATTTGAACCAGTAGCAGTTGTTTTGTCTTTAATGCCTCTCAGCACATCGTTGTTACTTTTTGACATTGTGAAGCAATTTCAGTTGAAGGGTGATTTAACATTTCATTTTCTGTCGTAGTTGCAGTAAGGTTAATTGTGCACCTGCACAGGATTAATAGAGGGGAAAGCTCTGTCTGTGACCTGGGCAAGCACCCCCAATTACTTTTCATTGCACTGAGATGGGAGTTAACAGTGTGGTGCAAGTACAGCAATACATGCTGTTTTAAACATGATGTTGTAATTCATTTTCGTTTTCCAGAATTTTACTCGGCGTTTGGGCATCCAAAACTGTAAATCCAGCTTTGATATTGCACCAATTTGCTTCACAGATTGTAGAAGCTGTGCTTTCACTGTTAGCATGCGTGGCTGTATTCATCCATAATTAAATTAAGCAGCACTAAAGCATTAATGACACAGCAAACATTGATCAACAGTGACTTGTCTTTACTAAAGATGATCTGAAACATACAGAGGATTGCTTTCAGAAGGCATTACTGTACATGATTCCCATTTGTGGCAATGAACAGCAGTCTGATGGATGAAATCAATGTCCGATTCAATGCCTATGGCACGTTGATGCTGTCCAGGCTTTGTAGTTTTTAGACGAGAAAGCCTGTGGTAGAAGATGTCCGCATTAGTTGAGGAAGTATTCAGAAGGACTGTGTTGCTCGACAGAGCAAGTTAGGGAAACAGTAATTGGTGATGATGCTGCAGGCAATGGATTATGAAAATGGAAGGTACAATATGGAGAGTTTTAGGACATGTGAAAATCGAAACAAAGTCCTATCACAAAATCACAAACACAGTATCACAGCCCTGTCAATTAACACGTCTTCTAAAGCAGTGGTCCTGAAAGACATCTGTGTGTTGTAGGTCGTCTACTTTTAGATCCAGCTATTCATCACAGGTTAATTAAATTAAATGTTGTATTTGGGTCATAATTTTACATTCGCTTCTGGATCTTAAAAAGCAACTTATACTCAGACGAGCAAGTGGTTAGAACAATCCATAACATTTAATCAAATGAAACTGTAGCAAACTACTACAGTGGGGACAGAAATTAAAGTAACGCTAACAGCACTAACAGTGCAAGTTCTCAAATAGGAGTTCTCCTCCATTAGAAATATCAGAATTTGTTGTGCTTCCCTAAACCCCAGATGAATAAAAAGAGCAGAACAATCAATCAAAGATGTTTACTGTTAAGCAGTAATACCACTGGTGTCCGCTCTGTCACATTGGCAGTTATAGAATGCAAGAAAGACCGTTTTTTTCACTTCGAAAAAAAAAGGTTGTTTTCTACCTCCAGCTAATAAATGATGAAATTCATGAAACTTCTAAACTTTGATGTCTTGAAATTCACACACATTCACTGTATTGGATATACAGCTAACCTAAATTATATCATAGTTTAATGAAGAAAAAATGTCAAATCTGAAATCCAATCTGAAAACAATCATGGTTTTGAAAAGTGCAGTTATGTAACTTATCACTGAGACAACATGGAGTTTTTGTATTGCACAATATAGCATCAGAAATGATATTTCTAGGACAGCTGAAATTATATAATATCCTTTATTTCCTGCTGAATCTGGTTTCAATTTATTTTGTACTTTGGCTGAATTGTGAAAGTCTCTACTGAGACTCTTGAGCTTAAATCCCAGAGACCCAGGGCAAAGGTTTAGCTGCAATCATTGATTGAAATGTTATTTGTCAAAGATTTTTTTAAATCTAAATAGTAAATATCAAATAAATACAGTTGCAGATGTATTAAAGAAGCAACATGATTTTACACTTTTTACATGAAACAGTCACTCCAGAGAGTGTCAAGATCTCACGGGCTTGCAGAAAAATCGGTGATAGGCAGGCCACACCTTACCAGTTAGGCACTATGAAGCTTGTAGCATGATAAATGACTCCAGAAGTTGGAGTAGCATGGCTACAGCCCCTCATTTCTTGCTGTGAGTCAACTCACTAATGCACTAATTCCAAATTGAGTGGTTGTATTACGATATATTGTTATGAACAGGGGTAAGGAAAACAGAGAATTACAGAAAATACATCAAGCGGGTTAATCAGTAATGAAAATAAATAATCATAACCCTCAGATTCTCAAGATGTGCCAAGAATATACCTGAGCGGTTGGTGTAATTAGAGGCCCCTGAGTTTTCTGTTCTCAGCTTTGGTGAAAAGAGTAATTCATCAGGCACACTGAGTTAAACAAATATTTATTAGTAATGAGAATAACACATTGAAAACAGACATTATAAAATATAACATACAAGTTACTTTATTTACAAATGAGGCACCTTGGAAGCCTACGTCCTATTTGTGTTTATCCTTATTTTGCCATTTCCTTGCCCAAACTTGTTATTGTATCAACCTCTGTGTTCTTTTGTACCCTGTTACTTGTCTACTCTCGTTTGTATTAGGAGTTCACTTCTGTATTTGTGTGAACTTTTGTGTATAGAGTTAGTTCAGGTTGTTGGGTACATTTTGCACACACGTAGTTGATTCTTGTATTAGTCACAATAGTTTAGTACGGGTGAGTGCCGTTTGTCTTATATGGTTTTGGGTAGTCAGTGGAGGTTAGATAGGGTGTTGAAGACGCCGAAGACCGTGTGTTTTGGGTTTTCTTCTGTAGTCAGGTTAGCTTTCCCTCACTTCCCTAGCCAGCTCCATTTTGTTTGTTATTTTCTTTTCTTTGGCATCACTCTAGTTCCCTTCCCTGTGTGTTATTGTGTCTTATTTCATACCAGTCACTTATTCAACTTAAAATCATCACTTTTGCACCGACCCTTGCTATCGCGCTTCCTAGTCCCTCACCAGAACCCACCTGCTTCCAAAAATTATCCTAAATGTTACACCCCTTTACCCCTAGACACTAACACCAGCCAAAAAAAAAAAAAAAGCATTCAAATCCTACACAGTATAATGCCTAGCAAGCCCCAAAGAGAAATAAACCTGCCTTCTAAAGCAAACAGAATCTGATGAACAATTAAATCTCTCTTCAAATAAATGTGGATGATACGAAGTGAATAGGAAGCTTACTGTATCCCCCTTTTCTAAAATGCATTCACAAACCAGGAGAGATAGTTTTTTACCTGTAGATTCTCTCGACAGGAAATTAGAAGTCCCTAAAACAACAGAATGGCAAGGTTCAAATACTTAACTTGAATCTGGTCTGAAAGGCTGATCAGGGCAAGGACCTCCCACCTCCGCTGTCTCTTCTCTCCTTGTGTTTTGCTGTTCATCGTCTTGCCTATCTTCCTCTCATTGTGTGTCCCTCTTTTTATCCTGTGTTCGTGATTGCTGGTGACTCTTAATGATTTTCCAAGAACTTAATTAACCAAGATAAACCAGATGATTTCTTTGATCAATGTGTCTCAGACCCAATACAATTCAGTAAACACCTCCATTCCTTTTTTGCTCTGAAGCTCCCAAGACCTGCATATGTTGACACAAGCTAGATGTTGACCACTGTCTCTTAAATTCATTAAGAACTCAATAACCCTTTCAATAGGCATAACAGTAACATAATGTTTATTTTTCAGTGCATCAAGAATCTATGAATATGAGCATGTCAGTGTGCTAATGATGTTACACAGGGAACATACAGTAAGAATATAAAGCAGTTACAAACAAGAATAGGCCATTCAGCTCTTCTAGCCTGTTTGGTAATTTCTCCATCTCATCTCATCGAGGATGCCAAAGGACAAAAATCTATCACATGATCTCAAACTGAAAGTATATGTCCTCTTACGTAGACATACTACTACTTCCTTGAATATATTAAGACCTTTTGACATTAGTTTTTATTAATACGAGTCGTTTTCAAGCTGTTTTAGTTGCCATTTCAAGACCGTGCAACCTGGTAATGTTTTTGTAAACTCTGAATAGCACAAAACGGGCAATGTCTCTGCCTAGAGAAATAACAGTCTCTCCTGTTCTGTGCAGTGGGATGCCATCACAGAAATGGACGAGCACAACAGACCGATCCACACCTTCCAGGTCTGCCACGTCATGGAGCCCAACCAGAACAACTGGCTGAGGTCCAACTGGATCTCCCGCGAGGCAGCACAGAAGATCTACGTGGAGTTGCGGTTCACCCTGCGGGACTGCAACAGCATCCCATGGGTCCTGGGCACCTGCAAGGAGACTTTCAACCTCTACTACATGGAGACAGACGAGTCCCACGGCGTCAAGTTTAAACCCAGCCAGTACACCAAGATCGACACCATTGCGGCAGACGAGAGCTTCACGCAGATGGACCTGGGCGACCGCATCCTCAAGCTGAACACAGAGGTGCGGGAGGTGGGGCCCATCACCAAGAAGGGCTTTTACTTGGCCTTCCAGGACATTGGCGCCTGCATTGCCCTGGTGTCTGTGCGCGTCTACTACAAGAAGTGCCCCTTCACCTTCCGAAACCTGGCCGTGTTCCCGGACACCATCCCGCGCGTGGATTCCTCCTCGCTGGTGGAGGTGCGGGGGGCCTGTGTGAGAAACGCGGAGGAAAGAGACACACCCAAGCTGTATTGTGGTGCGGATGGGGACTGGCTTGTTCCGCTGGGCCGCTGCGTCTGCAGTGTGGGCTACGAGGAGCTGGATGGGTCCTGTCTTGGTAAGAGAAAAATCCCATTCACGTTTTGCTACAAAATGCACTTTCCTTCCAGAATGGACTACAGTAGGTGTTAGCTTGGACATTTTAAATGAACCAGCAAATAGTGCCTGGCTTAAACTTTAACTAAAAACCATTCACTTTAAACAATGCCAGAAATATAGGTATATACCACAAATATTTATTGGTAAGTCAGCACTTCAGTTTATCTCTGATATATTGGCCGGATTTCTGAACACTGCCTTTTATTTATAATGTCTAGTTGTTATACCTACAACATCTACATTTATATCCTTTTTATTCTGGCCTAATGGCTGCTTTTCCAATGCAATTAATTTCATGTGTGATAGGCAGATTGTTACAGAACTATACACCACCATAATTCTTATTCATTAGATATTATATGTACTGTACTGTACTGTATATTACATCATTGATCATGAATGTGCTCATGTAAATAATGAACAAGCTGCTCTTGCCTTTTGCATTTCTTCAGTGTGGTGTCTTGACAAACTGGACAGAAGGCTTCTATGGTCACAAATTTAGGAGCATAATGATGTTGGTAAATTAATTAACTAGGTTATCTGAAGGAGGTAATTCTGAAATATTTTAGCTGGTGTCTTTAGAAGCTGTTCCGAAGACCTGAAACCTACACCTTTAACAAATGGGGATTTGTACCTGCTGTTGTTTTACAAATAGTTTACAGTTCAAGGCCTGTGTGTCTGCCTCCAGTACAAATGTATTTTTTTCATGCATCAATCAGTCAAAAAGCGCTGAGCTTATAACTGTTTTACTGGCCTTTCGTGGGAACAAGTGGACATTGTATCAATTCTCAGTAGGGCAGACAAAATGAAATCAGTGGTGCTTCAGTTTAGAAAAACATCTGCTCTGTGCTCATGAAGGGTACGCTGGTTTATTGTAATTCAACAATGACATCCCCCTTCCAGAGTGCCAGCGTAGTGCTCTCCACATGTAAGTATACAAAGCAGACAGAGAGGTGACATATCTGAACTATAGGTGCATTATCTTGATACTGTCAGCTTCAGTTTGTTATTCTTTTGTTATTCATTGAATTAAGATATACCCTGCATAGGTTAAATCTAATGGGAAAATGTCTTACCACAGTAGGATTTTTTAAAAGTGCTGGTTTTCCTAAGACGAATAAAGGATTTGTATACACTAAAATAAATACTACAAGAAGACAGAAAAGTGAAGCTATAAGCTCTTATGTTTTTAAAGGTTTGTCTACCCCTGGCATTTGCAGCCTGCTGTATCGCTGAAAAGGTAAAGGTTACAATCACACATCTCTGTCAAGTGGTGGATCTTTAATGTGGGTGCAGAGTGAATCTGTAAGCAGCTCAGAAACCTTCTGCAGACTCTTAAAGGGAAGCCACCAACAGCCAGTATTTTGGAATTGTATTCCTCTGTACCATCATCTTTTAGTGGCACTTACCCTTATTCTCACTTCATGTTGGTTTCCACTCAAGGATACATTTATCTTTAATATTAGTGGAGCATTTTGACCACATTCTCTTCAGATACCTCTGTTCAATGTCAGCAACGGTGTGTATGCTCAGGTGAATTTTTAAAGTAGATCAACGTACAATATATGCTAAATCATATCATGTTGATTGTTTATAAAGAGCAAGAAATCAGTTGACCTTACACCTTTTCTGAATAGTGTAGTATCTTCAGTAAAGTGGCAATGGCTTGCTTTGCTGATAGCTAATTTTATTCTGTTTACATATCCTGTAGCATGTCATCTTCATGGTATAAGGAAGTCTGAGGTGAGGTTCTAATATGTTTTGCAACTGATGTTGTTGTCACCATATGGCCATTCAGTGACTTCTAGTGGCTGTGAAGTAAACTTAACTGGCGCTGCCACCTCTCTGCCAAGTGTGTTACTGCTACCTACGCAAGTCAGGCCCGTCCTGAGAGGTGAGAAGATCAAAGATTTCTTTGTCTCAGAAAATAATCACACGTTCTGTCATTTAGAGATTCACCATCTGCTCCTCTTGTGACCACCACATGCAAAAAAAAAGAACACTGGGTCCGATATCACCTTCCCTTGTATTTCGAGAAAGACCTGCCGGGATGAGGGTTGATGACCTTGAATCCTGAAATCCACAATTTGAAACCCATTTGAGACCATGTGGTTCCTCAACTCATTTTCACACCTTGACCTCTTAAAATTAAAAGGTTCAAAGGCCTGATCACATCATACATATATATGTATTTCTCTATATCAAAGAAAAGATTTTGTATCTCATGATGATATTTATCATTTTGCTGTACTACTGTATATGCATTGCTTTTTTCCAAGTACTGTGTGTAAATAATTCATGCATCAGCAAGCCAGTAAATGTAAGAATTGATTGCTGTTCCCATTGTGTTCGATCTGGTACACACACGCCTGTACTCTGGATATGTTATGTTACACTAAATGCTTACACAAGATCCCTGTCTTTCTTTATCGAGACACATACAGTACTGTATTGTGTGACTGGAATATTGAGGACACGTATTATTAACAAGAAATCTTTTCTTTTTTCATTTGCTTTGCCTGCTTTTATGATTTTGCAATTCAAAATAATTACACTGTCCCGGTTCTACTAGAAATCACTCCACACATTGTGTGAAATTACTGTATCTGTCATGACAACTACATTTAATACATTTTTTTGTGATCCAATTTTATGGGTGGAAGGAAAAAGTGCAAAACAACATGGCATAGAAAAAAAATCCTATTTCCTTCCTTGCCACCCTGCTCTATCTTAAAAAAACCCTGCCAGGAGGTACCATATTCCCCCCTCAACAAGGACTCAATCTAAGAAAATCCTGGAATCAGATACAAAGAAGTGTCAATTTTTATTTTGTGGGAGAGGATTTTTAAACCCATCAACAGAATGTCAGTGCAGGCTGAGTGTACAATTTCTGTCTAGCAAGTTATCTTAAAACGGAGAATAGGAGACACTTCTTTACCCAAAAGGTTGCGACTGTATGGAAGAAGCTACCCAGCCACGTGGTTGAAGGTGATACTTTGGCTTCCTTCAAGAAACAGCTGGATGAGATCCTTTGATCTTTGATATATTAACTACTAAGTACCAAACATGCTAGATGGACAGAGTGGCTCCCTTTTTGTTTCTAAATTTTCTTATGTTCTTATGTAAACAGGGCCATGGTGATAAAAACAGTATTCTGAGCACCCATAAATGCAGGTCTTATGCAGCAAAAGTCTTATGCTGTTAAAAAATGTCAGTCAGATTGCATAATCCTTTTGAATCATACTACGTGGTTAAAATGGTATTTTCAATCAGGAACGTGGTACATGTTTAGCTGAAATAAACAGACAATGCACTAGCTATATTAGATTTGTCGAACAACACCCTGACTTCAAAGCTTTGCTGTGCACCCAGCTGTAAATGTGAGAGGAGGATAATGAGCAGCAGAATGTAGCTGTAGGATTGCTTTCACTCGTTATCTCTACAGATTCTGAAACATTATTTTAATTTCCCTGCCATACTGTGTGACAATAGACTGCATTTAGTGCTGCTTATTTGTTTATAAATTTAATTTCAGCTTGCTCACAAAAATGCAAGTGGCTTAAATCACATTATGTGAGCCTTATGGGTTTATTTGTTCACTTTAAAAGCATTTGTATAAAAAATGCTGTTTGGGGTCTTCAGAGGAAAAGTCAGGCAGGTTTGACTAAGTTCATCAGTTTGTAGATGTTTGAGCAGGTGGACAGGGGTCTGTGTGAAACAGAGCTGTGTTGCAGGCCTGGGGTTGCAGTAGTAAATTTCCTAGCTAGGGTCTGCAGGAGATTTGCAAATGACCTTGTTCTTTTTAATTTGGCTGCTTCTCATTTAATACCATTTAATACAACAGAACAACCTTTTCTTTCCTTCCTGTGTACTGTAGTAAAAGTGTGTGATGAACTACAGTATATTAAGTAAATGTAAGTGTTGTCAAGGATGAAAAAACAATGAAATTGCACAAACAAAAGTACTGCTTTCCCAAACAGATTACCTATTAAAAATAACCACTGCTACGAGAAACCATTGCAAAGGAACATGGAGGCAGACTGTCAGGAGTAATTAATTGCCTTGATTCTAGATTTTGGTTTTCTTTTTGTTTGCTTGATTGTTTATTTGGAGCTCCTGAAACTTTATTGATTTATTGACTAATGCTTTATAGTTCTGTGAGACTGAGAAGTGTTTCAAGTAGGTGAAGGATTGAGATCATTGAATTGCAGATAAATCTTGCCTGGCCCACTTTTCCATCCTCTGTATACTGAACACATTCCTAATTACTGCCATTTATTAGGTTTAGAGCTAAAACAGAATTATTTCACTGTTTCCTTCAAATGACTGAGCAGACACTTTTTAATTAAAACGTTTGCTAAATAAAGCTATCCCATGCTTTAACAAGCATAAAACTTAATCTAAATACTCTGTTTTCTAAGAATAAAATAGTATGCCCCTGATAATAATGAACCACATCCACCTCAAGCCTGTTTTTTTGTTGTCTTTTAGTTACTTTTTATCCATGACTGCTGTGATGATTTTGCACTTTTCTTAAGATATGTAAGTAACTTTTAGCAGAAAGCAATACATTCTGTTTAAGAAATAAACCGAGGGTAAGGTCTGAGTCGCAGGTGTGCCTTCTTTTCTTTTTCATAATGTGCTTTCTCTTCAGTGGCAAGCATTTAGCTTGGCTGTTGAATTTTGAAAGTGACTTCCTAGTTACATCTTGCTGAGATAAAAGATAAATCTTCAAAAGAAGCCTTCAGGTTGCCGAAATACAAGTGCCATAAACTACTGTATGTTCTTTCATACTTCCTTATGGAGTTTGGAAACATGCTGAATAAGCCACAAGCTTGTTCCAAATACCAGAACAACATGGTGGAATTTATAACCATATACTGTATAGTGGATCTGCGCACCACAGTGGCACAGTAGTTAGCATCGCTGTCTCACAGCACTAGGGCCCTAGTTTCAAGT